TTTGTTTTGATTGGTTGTTTTTTACTTCCTTATATTCCAAATTGCTGTTTTGATTCTCAGCTTTATCTACTCTATTGTTAATTCTATGTAAATTGTTCTTTATTTCAATTAGTGTATCCTTCATTTCTAACTGGATTTTTAAAATGCTGTTGAGGTTCTCTCTAAGTTCATTGACTATCCTTATAACCAGTGTTTTCAACTCTGCATCTAGTAGATTGCTTGTTTCCATTGTGTTTAGTTCTTTTTCTGGAGTTTGTTTTGCTCTTTTATTTGGGCCTTGTTTCTTTGTCTTCTGATTTTGGCAGCCTCCATGTGTTTGTACTATGTGTTAGGTAGAGCTGCTACATCTCCAAGGCTTGGTAGAGTGGCCTAATGTAGTAGGTGTCCTGTAGAGTTCAGTGGCACAGCCTCCCCTATTAACCAAGTTGGGTATTCAAGGTATGCCCACAGTGTATGCTGTGTACACCCTCCTGTTATAGCTGAACCTTGATTGCTGTTGGCATATCCAAGGCCAGCCACCAATTGTATTCTGTCCAGAGTCACACAGCATAAGCTACAAAGCAATCTGCAGATGGCTGCTACTTGTGCTGGGCTTAGAGGCGCCCAGGTGAGGCCAAGCTGTGAACAAAGGCTAGCTGCCTCTAGTGCAAGGCCTGGGGCATGTTAGCAGGAGGTATGGGGTTTGCTGAAGTCAGATGCTGCTTGTTTGAGAGAATCTAGGAAAATAAGAAGCAAGAGGCAAGACAGTCCATTCATATAAAAAAGCCACTGGAAACAGCGTGCATGGGCTGGAAAGTTGGGTGTGTCAGGGCTTTGGAGAACCACCAGGGTGGGGTAGACAGTGTGAGCCACGTTGATGGAGAGTCAGATATGGCACCTGCCTGCCAACTCTGGGGATGGGGTGGGAGCTCAGAAAAGGAACAATGGCTTCTGCCACCACTTCTGTGTGGGAGAAAGCTGCCCCCCAGCTCTTGCTCTGATGCTGCACAATTTATTTTCTCCCTGTATGTCTCTGATGCCTTTCAATCTGCTATCCCCATGCTGCACTCACTAGTTTGAGTCAATCTGTGTGCAGGCCCTGTCAGAGGAACTCCCTGGGACTGCAGAAGTTTCTGTCTTCTACAGCTTCCATCCTCACTGGTTTTTACAGCCAGAAGTTATGGAGACTTATCCTCATGGCACTGGAACCCTGGGCTGAGGGGGCCTAGTGTGGGGCTGGGACCCCTCACTCCTAAGATATCCCTCCTGATTTTTATCTGCCACACGTGGGTGTGGGACCAGCTTGTTCCACATCTCCACCCCTCCTACCAGTCTCAGTGTGGTTTCTTCTTTAATTCCATAGTTGTAGGACTTCCATTCAGCTTGATTTTTGATGGTTCTGAGTGGTGGTTGTTCTAAAGTTTAGTTGTAATTTTGATGTGGTTGTGCAAGGAGACAATCCAGTTTACCTACACCACCATCTTCACCCTGTAAGCCTTTCTTTTTCTTTTTTTTTTAATCTTTTAAAAAAGATTTTATTTATTTAGAGAGGGGAAGGGAGGAAGAAAGAGAGGGAGAGAAACATCAGTGTGTGATTGCCTCTTGCATGCCCCCTACTAGGGACCTGGCCTGCAACCCAGGCATGTGCCCTGACTGGGAACCAAACCAGTGACTCTGGTTTGCAGGCTAGCACTCAGTCCACTGAGCCTCACCAGCCAGGGCCCCTGTAAGCTTTTATGAATGTTGAGGAAGTTAATCTGTTAAATGTGCTGCAATTTTGTCTTTTTAAAAAATGTTATTTATTTAACCATACAAAAGTTTTTAATTTTAATATAATTGTGTTAAATCAGTCTTTCCCTGTTTTGGCTCCTTTCTTTGTATTATAGTTTAGAAAGGACTTTTCTACTCAAAGACTGTTAAAACATTCACTTGTGTCTTCTAGTACAAATTTTGCTTCCTTATTTTACATTTAAATTCTTTCATGCATCTTGAATTTATTTTGGTATAAAGAGTAACTTTTGCACCCAGCATCATTTATTGAATAATCTTTTCCTTATTTGAAATGTCATCATATACTAAATTCTTTTATGTACATGAGTCTATTTCTGGGCACTCAGTTCTTTACTTTTTATTCTATTCACTGTGCCAGTATCACACTGTTTAGACACTATTGCTTTACACTGTGTTCGATCTGGTTGAATGAGAAGAGAAAGTGTCAGGGAGAGAAGGGGGGAGAGAGAAAGAGAGAGAAAAATTATCCCCATTCATCGCTCACTTTAATTTTTCTGGCTATCTTCTCTAATGTTCCAAATGAACTTTGGCATTATTGTTAGATGTGTACATACATTGGGAACATGCGTCCTCCATGACAGTGTGGGGAAAAGAGTCTGCAAGGTCCATGGGAGATTGGTTCATGGGAGCCATGCCCAAGCACCCTGCAATTTCAGTAGCAAGGGCTGGGAGGGTCTACAGAACCAGGGCAGACGATCTCTGAGAATTTATGGAGCTGGGAGCTAAGAAGAGGTCCCTCTGGGACCTGGGGCTCAGGGCTAACCTGTCTTCTCCCCTATCCCTAGGGTATGAGGGACAGAATTTGGGGAAGATCCTCAAGGATATAGAGACGAGTAAGGTGGTACATATGGATCGATGGTCTGTGGAGGTGATACCCCAACAAACTGAAGAAAAGAGTGACCCAGTCCCCTTTCAGATCATCAATAACTACTTCTCCATTGGTGTGGTCAGTGGAGTGGGCTCGGGAAAAGGGAGGAAGTGGGAATTAAGCAGGCACAGGCTGGAAGAGGGCAGACTGGGAAGATAGAGGTTAAGGGAGCTGTGACAAAGGAAAATTTGGGGTGAGGTCCAGTGATGTGAGTTACAAGAAAAGAACATGAAACATACTGCTCCCAAATGGGAGAGTTAAAGAAAGTTCTGTGCTGAGAGGAGGCAGGCCTCTGACTTTACATGCCCTGCACTCCGCAGGATGCCTCTATTGCTCACAGATTCCACATGATGCGAGAGAAGTGTCCTGAGAAGTTCAACAGCAGGTGAGGGAAAGTGGGGCTGGGGGTGGGTATACATCGTGGCAGGGATAGGTTGTGGCCAAGTGTGACCAGAGCACTTAGATGAGCAGTGGCACCTCTAGGAAACTCTTCAGCCTAAAGATTTGCACGTGGGACTGGAGTCAGGAGGTTGATGCCCTTCCCTGTCATTTAGCTCACTCCTGCCAACTGTGTAACTTGTCCCCTTCCTACTGGGCCTTGTGTTGGGACTGATACAGAATGAAGAACAAGCTATGGTACTTCGAATTCGCTACATCTGAATCCATTTTCTCAACATGCAAAAAGCTGGAGGAGTCTTTGACAGTTGAGGTGGGTATGATGAAACCTAACCCTATATCCTTTTCAGCTTGTTATATCTTAGTTTCCCCCCTCCACAGGTGCCCTCAAGAACTTCCCATATTCTTGAACCTCTACTTTGATCTCTCAGCTCTCCAATTTTGAGTTCCCAAGTTTTCAAGATGTACCAGTCCTTATTTCTCTCCATCCCTTGCAAAACTTAAAATCCTGGCCTTTCCGATCAATGTTATTTAGTGGAGGAAGCTGTCACATCCTTGATTATATCATGAGATAAGAATCTCTTTTCTCCTACCCTCAGATCTGTGGGAAACCGCTGGATCTGAGCACCCTGTCTCTAGAAGGCATTGCAGTGCTGAACATTCCTAGCACACATGGTGGCTCCAATCTCTGGGGTGATACCAAGAAACCCCATGGGGACACCCATGGGATCAACCAGGCCTTAGGCTCTGCAGCTAAAGTCATCACCGACCCTGACATCCTGAAAACCAGTGTACCAGGTGAGAGGAGCAGCTTTGGAAGCTGAGGGGGAGTAGGACTAAGGGTGTGATGGTCTTCGGAGGCACCCTGCTTCTGCAAAAGCTATGTCACTACTTTCCACCCCCAGACCTAAGCGACAAGCGGCTGGAAGTAGTAGGTCTGGAGGGTGCAATCGAGATGGGCCAGATCTATACCAAGCTAAAGAATGCTGGACATCGGCTGGCCAAGTGCTCTGAGATCACCTTTCAGTAAGGAAAACTCTGGCCAGGGGCTCTGAGGGAAGGAGGGGAGCCAAGAGCACCAGGGTCATGGCAGAGGAGGAGGGGCTGTACTAGGAGATCCTCCTCAGTACTAAGGGTTCTGAAAGCCAACCTAAGAAACAGAGCTTTAGTATTCCATTGGTAAAGAAATCCTCCAATCTGCCTTGACCTCCCACAGCACCACAAAAACCCTTCCCATGCAAATTGACGGAGAACCCTGGATGCAGACGCCCTGTACAGTGAGTATTGCCTGTGTCTGTAAAAACTGAACCGTCAGGCTCCATGGATCCTAAACCTCTATTCCATAGCTTCTCTACTTCCTCCTAATGCCTGAAGTTACCCTGCATGCCATTCCTGTTATACCCTGATTTCTCAGCCCGTGGCCGTCCTACCACGGCTTCTCTACGGCCCCAGCAACCCACCCTGAACCCTGCAGATCTTCCCCCAAATCTCTGCTGCTCCAGCCCCAAGGCACCAAGTTCTGCCTCTGAACCTGCCCCCTTCCCTTCCAGATCAAGATCACCCACAGGAACCAGATGCCCATGCTCATGGGCCCACCCCCCCGCTCCTCCAATTTCTTTGGCTTCTTGTGTTGAGGGGGACACCTCAGCCTCCAAGACAGCCTTGAGCCCACCTCCCTGGACTGTACTCTGTAGGCTCTGTATACTGCTGCCGTGCCCTCCTGCCAGCTCAGGGGAGGGCTTCTTTACCCTCACAGTATTTATTGTCCTGCACCACCTCCACTATGCCCCTTGTATACGTGCACACACACACACACCACAAACATATACATTGAAAGTGCCTCATCTGAATAAAATTACTTTTTCCTCCTACTGGCATATCTGTTAAGTAAGTGGTATACCTCCTTCCCTTTTACCTTTACTCTATAAATGACTTAGATTCTCCCAAGAAGCAAGAAAAAACGGCATCAGGTTCTGAGTATTTATTTCAGGTAATGGTAGTCTCCAAGTGGAGATTGGAGAAAAGGTAGGCATTGCCGGCCACCCTGGATAAATTGTGACATCACATGAGAGGGCTCAGACCTGCTGTCCGCTGAGGAGGGGGCTGCTCTCACCAACGGAGTAAGAGTGGAAGACCCGGGGCAGACGCAGCCAGTGGGTGCTGCTGTGTGGCAGCTGGGGGAGGGAGACAGTAGAGCCCTGCTTCATAAGTCTGTGCCTGATATTGCGGGGAGAAGGGGGAAACTGGTTAGCAATGGACAACGGCAGCCTGTTGGTGCTTCTGCGAAGGACACACCCATATGCCAGGTTTACTTGGACTTGATCCTAGCTCCTCCCCTTCTCACCAACAGGGTTCATCCTCTCTTGTTTCTATGGTAACCTCTGTTCATTCCCCTCTCGCTATGAGCTTCCCTGTTTTGAGGACTCCAAGACAGGGAATCAGCCCTTCTCGCCATCACCCAACATCCTCTGCTCTCGATATGGCTGACAGCAGTCTTCAATATCATCAATTATCCCATTTTTGCCTCAGGACTAGGTGCTTTAGCCACACTACCTCTAATCCTAACAGGATAGCTGTTAATTTTCCTACTTTTCCCAGACTCAGAAAAGTTAAGCTACTTCTCCAAGATCCCACCAGCAACACTGCAGCCCATGCTTGTTTAACTTGCAAGTCTGGGCTCTTTCCCAGACACTGTACTTCCTCAGAAGTAGTGGTTCCTTCTCTCCTTGAGGAAGAGTGAGTGGTGGTAATAAGGAATGAGGGGGTATGCACTGGGTCATGGGGTCCTCACCTGTATATCACAGATGCAAGCACCATAGCTGTCAATGCCAATAAGACACCCACAAACAGGGGAGCCTGCAGGGGGCCTGCTTCTTGACCTGTGAGTAGAATCCCAGACCCTGCTTCAGTGTCTACACCCTGCCAGATAGCCTCTGCCCTCTCTCTGACTTCATCCCTGCTCTTGTCCAAGTACCTACCAGGCATGACAAGCTGGGTGCTGACCATTGCCAGGCTGTTGGCATCAGCCAAAGACACATTGAGGCAGTAGGTCCCTGAGCCGCCCTCAAGTGCCTGGTGCAGAACCAGCTGACAGGTTGGGCTGGGTGGCACAGGCTGACACAGCCGCTGAGCAGGGGGCTGACACCCTGGTGATGATATGTCCATACAGGCTTCCTCGGGCAGCCTGGGAGAGGTGTCATGTCAGGAGGTCTGGGAAGGAACACTACACACCAGAGAGCAGGTTAACGGTCAACCCAGCAGTTCTCAGGACCACCACTGGGACACTCACCCGCCTTGACAAGACACAGTCAGCTCAAATGCATCCCCTTCACTGGATGGCACAGCCTGCAGGATTTCAGCACTTTCAATACCCTCTGCAAAGTTGCAAGATTTTAAGTCTGGGATTCCTCGAGCCGGACTCCCCAAAAGCCCAGATAGGAAATCCCTAGGCTGCTTCCCCAGTGTCATCCCCATGTTTTCTAATGAAAAACCTGGGATTGGGGTATTCTCACCCAGGTAACTCCTTCCACACTATGCTTCTACTTGCAGCCTGAGGCAGCACACACCTCACTCTGCCGGCCCCCACAGTAGGCAAAACTCACGGACAATGTCCAGGGTGAGGGAAAAGGAGCCGTATCGATACAGCACACAATCCAAGGGGACTTGTCTCTTCACCAGGATTAAGGTGGCTGTGCCATCCAGCAGGGGGCTCTGGGAGCCTGACAGGAGAGGATTGAAGAGGCAAAGTCAATAGACCAATGACTTACTTGGAAACAGAGGCCAAGCAGGCATGTTCCCAGGTGGAGCCAGAGCTACTGGATCCAGGCTTGGAATCACACAAGACCTGGAAGTCTCATTTTATAGATAAGGAACCTGAGGCCCTGAAGGAGAACTGGCTGCCCCAGAGTCACACACAGAGGGATGCAGCTGGAGTTTTAAAAAATCACAAATGTCCTGGCTGGTATGGCTCAATGGATTGAGCAATGGCCTGCAAACCAAAAGGTTGCAGGCTGGATTCCCAGTCAGGGCACGTGCCTGGGCTGCGAACCAGGTCCCCAGTTAGGGACGTGTGGGAGGCAACCACACATTGATGTTTCTCTCCCTCTCTTTCTCTCTCCTTTCCCTTCTCTCTCTAAGTAAATAAAAATCTTTAAAAAAATAAATTTAAAAAATTTTTAAAAATTACAAATGTTTATTAAATCCAACACTACGTCAGGCCCTGGGCTAGACACTCAACGTGTGTTAACTCATCTAAGTGTCACCGCTCTTCCCTTTTCAGTGTTCCTACTATAATTCCAGGCTGGCTTACTTTGGGAAGAGAACCCAGGGGTGGGAAATGGTATTAGAATCTGGAACAGATGTCTATGCATTTACACTCGAACAGAAAGTGAGATAATAAATATTATATAAATGACCACAGTCTGTTCCCTGGCCTGCCCCTCAGGGAACCACTCTCCTCAGGGATAGAGAAGCAACAAGCTCTCTCCCTAGGTCCTAGGCAAAGGCCCCGACTTCCTGAGTTCCCGACTTCCACATCTATTCCATGTTATTAAGAGGGTCTTGAGGGCTTTAAAACCAGTGAGGGCTCTGAGGAGACCTCATTGCCAAGCAAAGGATTGGGTAACATCTCCGGCCAGGGTAAGTCTTTCAGCTCTGAGTAGCAAATGCCCCAGCTCAATAAATCTCATTCACACTGGCCCTCTTACCTGTAGGACCTTCTGTAGGCATGAGTGGGCTGGCATCTGGACCCTCAGGCTCAGGTGTGGGTACCTCTCCCGCTGTGGTCTCCACCAACTCTGCAGTTGTTATCTGTACAGCTGTGGTTTCAGAGGGCTCTGCAGTTAATACTTCAGGGGTGGTACCTACAGCCTGTGCAGTTGGCATCTCTGTAAGTATGGTCCCTGTTCCCTCTGCAGTTGGCACTTGCACAAGTGTAGTACCTACGACCTCTGTGGTTGGCACCTGCAGAACTGTGGTTCCAGAGGGCTCTTCAGTTTGCACCTGACCGGGTGTAGTACCTGCAAACTCTGCTGTAGGCACTAGCCCAGCTGTGGTGCCAGGAGCCTCTTCGGTGGGCACATACCCATCTGTGGTGCCTGGAACTGGAGAGGAGCCACAGGAGGTGAGAGGAATGGCAGCCTGAAGCACCACCCGGGCAGTGACTGGGCCAGACTCTAGGTAAGTGTGAGTGACCACAAGTGCCCGAGAAATCAAGGTCCCAGTACTGTCTCCAAAGTCCCAGGTGTAAGAGAGGTCAGCCCCAGACAAATAGCCGCTGGGGTCATGGAGCTGGAGTGCAAAGACCAGAGGTTGATTTCTCAGGAAGTGCTTGTTCCCTCCATCCAAGGCCTGCAGCTGGGACACACTCACGGAGAAGGGCACCTGGTCTGGGGTTGGAACCAGAAAAAGTGAGAGTCATAACCCGGCCACAGCTTACCCTTTCACAGCCACACCCTCCCCCCAGCTGACTGGTTATCTCTACCTTGGCTCCAAGCCCCAGATTCCTCTACCCAGGTTTTCCCGGTTCTGCCCCTTTAAGGTTACACACCATTTCCCCTTTCCCCTTCCAGTCCAGCCAAGCCTCTCCACCTTCTTCTCCTGCCCTAGAACTGGCCTTGCCCCTGCTTACATCCTTACCAGTAATGGTGAAGGCTGAGCGGGAGTGAGCAAGGGGCACGTAGCTCTCAGACTTCCGGCGGCGGTGGTAGACAGTTACTTCCATGGTGTGTGTGCCCAGTGCTGCTGTGTCTGTCCCAATGCTCAGCCCAGACACAGGACCCCCTAGAACTTGCCAGTATTGGCCTGAGGTTTTTTGAAAGAAAAGCAGAGAAGGGGTGGAGGTTGTTGGTCGAAGAAGACTGACTAAAGACGGCACCAGAGAAGGAAGGTCAGGAGATGTATTTAGGGTGATAGTTTTAGATGATATTTGGAAGGCTGTGATATGGGGGCCAGGAAAGGAGTCCTAATGCATGGTTCCATGGAATGGGACTAAAATGGGGGAGGGACTCCCTGACAGAACTATAATAGAGGGGGAGGGGGCTTGGTGCTGGGGACAAGGAAGGAGCCACAGGGAAAATGATCAGGGAAAGTCACTGAGCTTAAAGTGTAGAACCAAAAGGAAAGATAGGTAGGAAGAGGTAAAGCCAAGTGTAGATGACAGGCCACAGCAGGGAGTCCCTCACCCCCGGTCTTCCAGATATAAACAAATCTTCTCCTCCGAGACAACGGGCCAGATGGGCAGGCCCTCCCATCAGGGAAGATACAGGCATCATCGGGTTCCTGGGGATACACTGGCTGTCCTCCCCACACCTGGCTCCCTGCAAGGTAGACAGTCACTGTCAAACCCTGGCATTCCTTTCTGTACACCAAAACCCCTAACAATGGCTCTCAGACAGGGGCTCTAGGAATACTCCCCAGCTGCCAAGTATATTCCCCTTGGTATAATCCATGTGGGGTGGCAGTAGGAAGAATGGAAACTACAATTAAAGATTTGTATGTGTATACTCACCTAGGAAAGAGATTGGAAGGCCATATAACAAAATGTTTACAGAGATTTGCTCTAGCTAGTGGGATGAAAATAGCAGCACCAACTAACATTTATTGAGCCTTTACTATAGGCTACGACAGGCCTTGCACCTAAATTCTTTATAAATTATCACATTTTAGTTCTTACAACAACCTTTTGCAGTAGGTATCATCCCATTCTATGGATAAGGGAATAGAAGCACAAAATAGTTAAGTACTTTGCCCAGGGTAACATACCAGTAACAAGTTTAATTCTAAGTCCATCCAGCTTCTAGGTCCACTGGGCCTTTTGTCCCTCATTTGGGGGATTATATTTTTCTTTTATTTATTTATGTTTTATAGTGTTTCTACAATGAATATGCCATATATATGCCATATATATAAATAATTTGTTTTAAAAAAAGTAAAAGGGGAAATGGGCATTCCCCGAGCTGAATCTGAGCCCTAGCAATGAGGGCCTGGAATAGAGAGGTACTCACCATTGATGATGGTGTCATTGGCCCAGATGACCTGCCCATCCGGCAGCACCTTTTGGCTTTCAGGGAAGTGCAGGGAGATAGAGAAGGAGGTATTTGCCCCAACCAGTGTAGGCCCATCATTACTGACCTTCAGGGATACCTGGCCGCCTGGAAAGGGTATTTGCATTAGGTGGGACTCCTTGGCTTCCCCTCCCCATATACCTTCCCTTTCTTCTTTTTCCCAAATATGTTCAACCCAGTTCTTGCTCCTCTCCCCACCGCATTCCCATCATGTCCTCCCCAGAATTTGCCAAGTTCTCACCTCTCCAGCAGTCAGCTCCCTGGATTTCTGTCCACTCTGGATACAGCTGCTTGTTCCAGGCTTTAGTTCTGAGCTGCCTTGAGACACCAAGCCAATCCTGGTCTCTGGATCCTAAAAGGAAGGTTCTATAAGGGCCCTAGGATCCTCACTCAGTCTTTTCTCAGGTGATAATACTGTCCCATGTCACCTCACTCATTCACACATTCGAAGTGCATTTTAATTTACTGGATACCCACTATGTACCAGGCACGATGCTAGGTATAAAAGGCTTAAGAGACAAATAAGACACAACCCTGAAGGGATTCAAGATAAAGTATAGGAAACAGACATATACATTAATTACTATAACTCAAGGCACTGTTTAATATGAGCCATAGCAGACATGCATGAAGTGCAAGAAAATGACAGACTGGCTGGTGTGGTTCAGTGGATTGAGTGTTGGCCTGCGGACCACAGGGTCACTGGTTCCATTCCCAGTCAGGGTACATGCCTGGGTTGCAGGCCAGGTCCCCAGTAGGGAGAGCACAAGAGGCAACCACACATTGATGTTTCTCTCCTTCTCTTTCTCCCTTCCTTCCCTTCTCTAAAAATAAATAAATAAAGTCTTTAAAAAATATTAAAAAATAAAAATGACAGACTAAACAGATTAGTTCCACTCTGGCAGACTAGGAAAGGCTTCAGTGAGGAGTTGGCCTGTGGGATAAAGCACTCCAGGCAGAAGGTCTAGCATGAGTAGATGCACACATGGAGGCATGGAAGCGCATGGCATGAGAGGGGATTACTAGCAATGTGGTCGATGCACACTGTGATAGATGAGGCCAAAAAGATGGTTTGGGGGCTCTGAGTGCCAGGCGAAGGAGTTTGGCTTTTACCCTGTAGGCAAGACCACCTCAGAAGATTTTGTTTGTTTTGTTGAGCTATAATTCATACATAAAATTCACCCTTCAGGATGTTTTGAATATGATCAGATTTGTGTTTTAGAAGGATCACTATAGCAAGCAATGATGAGGATGGATCAGAGGCAGGCAGAGGTTGGGTTTGGAGACAGGGCAAACAAAATTATTGCAACTGACTGAGAGTGGTCTGAGAAAAAGGGATATGAAGGATTGCTATATGCCTCAACCAGATCCAACAGCTGTCAGTGTTTGCCACATTTTCTTTTTCTATACTTTGTTATTGTTGTTTGGGTTTTTGTTGTTGTTGTTGTTTAATTTTTTATTTTTATTGAATTTATTGGGGTGACATTGATTAATAAAATTACATGGGTTTCAGGTGTACAATTCTGTAATACACCATCTGTGTATTGTATTAGTGTTCACCACCGCAGGTGAAGTCTCCTGTTTGTTTTTAGCTAAAGTCTTTATTTATTTATTTATTTTAGCTAAAGTCTTTAAAAACTAATCCCAGACACCTTGCTATTTTAACCCTACAAATTCAGTATCTGTTTAAAAAATGAATATTTTATTGAATAAGCATTATTTCACACTAGACAAAATTATCAAACCCAGTCCATATAAAATTTCATTAATATCTAAAAATAGCTTCTTATGATATAAAAAAATCAGGACCCATAAAGTAAACACAGTCTTTTAAGAGCCTCCAGTAGACAAGTATGAACAGAATGACTCCAGAATACACTAAGGAACATAGTAAAAGAAAAAGATTTAAAACAGTTGCATGAATGAGGAAAGTCAAATCAAGAAGAATTTTCTCAAAGTCTGTGAAACCAGGGATTTAGAACAAGAAAGAGGAAACTGGGATATGATGTATGTAATTTCAGCACAGCAGAAACTATCCTCACTCCATTTCTAATTTGTACTGGAAACCTAGTTAATTCTGCTGGGGGAGGATCTGGAATCATTTCATTAGCATCCCATCACTAGAGCAAGAGAATCATAAGATGCCCCATTCTTCTTTCACTCCCAACCCTCCCTCCTCAGAGCAGCACGGGACATTCCAGACCCTCTCACCACCCCTCACCCCCACCCCCTGCTCCTATCACGAGGTCCCAATCCCCCAGAGCCCTTTCATGTGATGCTCAGCTGAGACCCCTCTGCCTGACTCTTCCAGGCCCAGGACAAAAGCTTGGCCTATGTTCACCCATCCCCACCTCAAAGTGGGGAGGTGGTGCCTCCTTACCCTTTCTATCCAATACCACATTCTCTTACTCCTCACTTTAAAGACCTTATCCTAAGTGCCTGGGACATCGTCTAAAAGAGCCTCCCACTCATGTCACCCCCTTGGAGCCCCTACTCCAGCTCACTACACAAGGGGCTCAGAATTATGGCCAGGAAGACCCACCATCCTCTTGCCCTTCCAAGCAGGTGGGATTGTTTTCAGGTTCAGTCCCAAATTCCCATGAGGGGAGGGAGTTCAGGTGCCCATGTCCTCACTAAATCAAGTGGGTGAAAGAAGCCTGAAGTGTTGCTGGTATCTCCCATTAGTAGGGGAAAAACCAGAGCAGGTGTGCAAACCCAAATGCACACTTATCCATATTGACACGCCCCACACTCACCTTCTGTGGTCCCTACAGCCAGAAGAGCACCCATCACGGCCACATGGAGAAAGCATTTTTGGGACCCCATACCCATCCTGTCTTCCTTCCAGCAACCAAAGGCGCTGGATAGGCAGGGACAAGCCTCTATATAAGAAAGGGGTGCTCATTTGCATAGCCCTTCCCCCTCTCCCTCCAGGGGAGGGCTGGGACAGGAGGACTGGAAAAACGCAGAACTGACAAGGGATCCTGCTCCCCAGATACTGACTGGGTCATTCTCATCTTGACTGAAAGAATTGACTTAAGGGCAACTACATAACACGTACCGGACACACACAATTAATTCATCATGGGAGAGAAAAATCAATCTGTTGTCTGAGTCAAACCAGGAACCTCTCAAAAAGACAGAAACAGAGGCCCTGCCCCCCAAAACAGAGTCCGTATCGAGGTAGGCTGAGAGGCTGAGGCAACGACTCCTCCGAAACCCAGGAAACCTTTATAATGAGATTCCCAGCTTCCTGCTTTTCAAAGGAGGTCGGGTAGGCCAGGTGGAATTTAATCTCAGATCGATATACGTTTTCCCTAAGGGTTGTGAAAACGGCGAGATCAGGAAATCCCTACAAACTCAGGATACAGGGAAATTCGAGCCCGTATCAGGTGTTTGGAAAGAGGTGTTCAACCTCCCCACCCAGGCAGAAACTTGTCTTAGATTTAAGGCCTCTCAGAACCAAACTTGCGCGGGACCAAACGATTTGCTGCGAGGGGCGCGAGGTTCGCCTCTCCCGCTCTGACGTTGACCAATAGAAAGGACTGGGGGCGGAGTCGGGGAAACGCGGGAAGGAGAGGCGGGGCCTCTGGTGGTGGTAGGGAACTGCAGGGGAGGCGGCAACATTGTTTCAAGTTGGACAAATTGACAAGAGCGAGGAGTTAAGACTGCATTCCATCCGGACCTGGGGCCGCGGTGCCGGGCCCTGTTTCCCCCTCCTCTGCCCCCGAGAACCGGGCCCGCTTTCTGCAGGGTTCCCAGGCCCCCTCCAGGGCCGGCTGCCCCGACTCGCTAGCGCTTCATGGAGAACTTCCAAAAAGTGGAAAAGATCGGAGAGGGCACGTACGGAGTTGTGTACAAAGCCAAAAACAAGCTGACCGGAGAAGTGGTGGCGCTTAAAAAAATCCGCCTAGACACGTGAGTGGCCTCTGTACCGGGACTCCTCTGTACTTGGGAGTTCCTTGAGTGCCCCCCGCCCCCACCCTAACAGGCGGGTAGCCGTCCAGGGACCGGAAGGTAGCAGGGAGGGACTTCTTTTGAAGTGGAGAAGTGGGTTGGAGGACTGTAGAGGGTTTCCCTCATTATAGGGTAGTGTCGAGTCCGTGGGAAACTTGCTCCCCAAAGCCGAGTGATGCCCCCAAATGGGCAGTCAAGGAGGAGGGAGGGGGCCTCTGACATGGGGTCCAGTGCTCTTCGTGGAGTTGGATTTTGAGGGAACTGGTGAAGAGCACCTTTCTGACTAAAGAGCCCGCCTCACTGCCCCAGCCCCACCCTCATCTTAGAATTCTCTCCCTTTCAAAAGAATGGCAGTTGAACCTCACTGGCCCCTCTAGGGAGGCTGGGTACTGCTACTCCCATTTTTTTTTTTTCCTGTTATCTTTTCCTCTTCACCAGGAAGCCTTATTTACCTACCCTTCTGGGGAAAAAAATCGACCTTAATATGTCCAAAAGACACTCTGTCCACCCATGAATGAACTCCTACAGAACCCTTATTTTCTTTCACTTTCCTAGGAGATGCTGGGGTGGTGTCTCCATGGGGGAAAAAGAATGACTGGGCTGGGGAAAAGGGAATATTTGTAATCACATTCCCATCTCTGTTTTCCCAATCTCTCCAAGTGAGACAGAGGGTGTACCCAGTACTGCCATTCGAGAGATCTCTCTGCTTAAGGAGCTTAACCACCCTAATATTGTCAAGTGAGTATGTATCTGGAAGATGGTTGACAATGAAGGAGGATGCTTTCTGTCTGTGTAGTCTGGCCATTTCTCTCCCTCACCTTCATTCATGGACCTTCCTTTCCTAGGCTGCTGGATGTCATCCACACAGAAAACAAACTCTACCTGGTTTTTGAGTTTCTGCATCAAGATCTCAAGAAATTCATGGATGCCTCTGCTCTTACTGGCATTCCTCTTCCCCTCATTAAGGTAATCCTTCTCAACTCTTCTCCAACATCGTCATGTCTTGAGGGGGGGAAATGAAGGCAGGCAAATCAGACTGATGATTTGTGATCTTGGTTTCCTTCCCAGCCCTCATCCCCCTACACACATGAACATCCCCCCCCCCACACACACACACTTTTCTTTTGTGGTTCTTTCACTGCTTATTATGCTTATTAATCCTAGGGCTGGGCAGAAGAATCAAAGAAGCTGAAACTCTAGTGAGTCAACCTAACAGCTCAGGTAGAGAAGGTCAGATGAAACTCAGATAAATGGAACTTGAGAGCACTTGGTACCTTCCTACAAAACAAGCCCTTTTACCTGTTTGGTGGGAGAAATAGCCAGTGAATCTTTATTGTCTGTTTTAGGGCTGGATTGTTTACTTCCCAAGTTACTTTCAATCTATCAACAGATATTTATTCAATACAAATTTATTGAACACCTTTAATGTGCTAGCATAGAATATGGAAAAGAGATGCAAAACTGAATAAGACCTGGATCCTATCCTCACTGGGCTGACAGCCCGATGAGAGAAATAGCTTATAAACTTGTAACTGTAATCTAATATAGTAAAGTAGAGCTTTGGAGGTGATAAACACTGTCCTGTCTCTCCATTGTTAGAGCTACCTGTTCCAGCTGCTCCAGGGCCTAGCTTTCTGCCATTCTCATCGGGTTCTGCACCGAGACCTCAAACCTCAGAATCTGCTTATCAACGCAGAGGGGGCCATCAAGCTAGCAGACTTTGGACTAGCCAGGGCCTTTGGAGTTCCTGTTCGTACCTACACCCATGAGGTCAGTCCCTCTCTGCATTTCTCCCCTGAACTTCCTGGGAAGTGTTAACGAGGATATTCACAAAGTTACTGAATATATTTGGACAGCAGTTTTTCTCCTGCTAGTTGGAGAGTACTTCTGACACCTCAAGAGGTCTTAGAGTGTGCACAGAGTTTGTACTGCAGGGCTAACTGGGCTTTGATAGCTACCAAGCCAGGAAAGCTGGAGGGCATACCATTAAAATTATGACCACTTGTCTCAAGTTTTCTATGAAGGCCACAAGTTGGGGGTTCAGAAATTATGGTCCCAGAGTCATGGGCTAGGCTCATTCTGGGCTGAGAAGTTGTATGCAGTCATTTTACTTAGGGGAAATCAGAGGGAAGGTAAGGATGAAGGGAAAGAAGCTGCTAGTTAAGAGGCAGAGAGTAGTGCTGGGGAGCTGAGATGTGGGAATCTCCATGCCCCATACACCACCTCTCCTCCTTCCTATTTTTGTCCTCAGGTGGTGACCCTGTGGTACCGAGCACCTGAAATCCTTCTGGGCTGCAAATACTACTCCACAGCTGTGGACATCTGGAGCCTGGGCTGCATCTTTGCTGAGATGGTACAGAGGCATGCCTGAGTTCCACCCAGCCCAGTCCTCCCCACATTTAAGGACAACAGAACTTTCTTGGCTCATCTTGACCCATGGCCCTTCTATTATCACAGGGTTCTTTCTCTACAGTACCACCTACGGGGGCAGTGGGGAAAGGACAGGACTGTTGTTCCTGATGTCAACCACAGTGTTAGGTTATTCTCAAGTAGCCTTAGCATCCTTATACATCTCTTATCCCCAAATTGAGCTAAATCATTTCTGCAGCTGCTTTAGCTTTAGTCTGCATATATTTGGTAGAATGAGTTCCATTTAGTGCTTCATTTGCCCTGGAAACCTTATTGTAGGTTGTGAGGAATACAGTGAGGCCACCTGTATACAGCTTACCCACATCTTTAAACTGCAGACTTAGATCTTGTCCCAGCCCAAACCTCTGGCTCTTCAGACTGAAAGATCCCTGAGGCCCAGCCTTATTTATATGTGAAATTGCATCCCCTTTAATATATAATGGAGTGAGCTGAGTTTTTTAATCAAATCAGCAATATGTTTTATGGTCCTCTCTGGGTTATAACTGGGGGCTTGGAGACCATTAGCCTATATATATATAATGTGCATTTGTCCCCCAGTGCATTACCTTACAATTGCCCATATTCCTCTCTCAATTCATCAAAAAATATTTGTTAAGCACCTAGTGTGTACCCAGCACCATGCTAAGTGCTGTGGGGAACACAGAAGAAATGGAAGACACAGTCTCTGCCCGCTGTGCTCCTATCTAGAAGTGGCTGCATCACAAGGAGGGGGGATGACCGCAGTGTCTACCCCACACCCCGTGAGTGGCTTGGGATCCCTTTGCTACATGTCAGTGGCACCCCAGACATTCACCCCCTCCCAGCCCCACCCAGCCTTGGGGATCTGCAAAGCCATGGTTGGGGGAAGGAAGGAGGGGGCGAGGAGACAGATGAAGGGACTTCATTGTCTCAGGCTCTGTGTGACTGACCCCATGAAAGGCCCTTGGGGGGGAGTCATGGGGCCCTACTGACCTTCCACTGCCTGTGGGAACCTCCATTGTACAGGGGCAGTTTTCATTGACGTCAATGTGGCTCTTGGCCTTTCCTCTCCCCATTTTCAGGTGACTCGTCGGGCCCTATTTCCTGGAGATTCTGAGATTGACCAACTCTTCCGGATCTTTCGGACTCTGGGAACCCCAGATGAGGTGGTTTGGCCAGGAGTCACGTCTATGCCTGATTATAAGCCAAGTTTCCCCAAGTGGGCCCGGCAAGATTTTAGCAAAGTTGTGCCTCCCCTAGATGAAGATGGACGGAGCTTGTTATCGGTGAGAGTGAGGGGTGGGCTCCCCATTTCTCATTGACTACCCTATGGTAGGGCTTTTTTCTGAATGAAGGAAGGATAAGACCCTGGACTTCAGGTCTCAGTGTTTCCCTTGCCCCTGCTTCTGTCTCCCTGTTGGCATACCTACCAACTGAACGGACAGATATAGGGAGGAGGGAAATGGGAGACATCTGCCTTGGGTAAAATGAAATCTGGTTTCCCGATTTCTTGGAATACTTACTTGCTGCCCATTTAGTCCATCACATCACTGAAGTCATTATACATCTCTCCCTCTAGCAAATGTTGCACTACGACCCCAACAAGCGGATTTCAGCAAAGGCAGCTCTGACTCACCCTTTCTTCCAGGATGTGACCAAGCCAGTACCCCACCTTCGACTCTGATGTCCTTCCCTAAGCCCCCAGTCTCATCTTCTCCTCCAGTGGGGGCCTGATCTGGCTTGGCCCTGGGCTGTGGGTGCCCACTGTCTTGTCTGGCTGCCTTAACACTCACTCACCTTCTCCTCTTAGCCAGCCAGCTCTGGGGATACAAGGGCATGGAAGAAAAAAATGGAAGGAAGCTTCAGTATTAGATGCACTTACTCAGTCTCTACCACCCCTCCACATAGTCATTGCTGAGGAGGGCTGATATTTAAAAAACCCCCTCTTTTCCCTCCCCCCACATAGGATTTGCCATCCCAATCTCTGAAAGCCCCGCAATTATTATTTCCTGTGTTTGGAATGACAGAGGCCCCAACCTCCTGCTGCCACTGTGTTTGTTAAACCAGCTGATAGCAGGGGGAATAGATTGGAATTTTGAAATCCAAGCAAAATGAAAACATAAGGAGAAGCCTGGTTTAAAGAATTAGGTTAAAAAAAATAGATCCAACCAGTTTATACCCTAGTTTTAGTGTTTGATTTCACCTAACAGTCTGGGTGTCTCAAGACTCCCAGCCTCTGCAATCCTGTTGGGGCTGCAGTAGAAATGATTGCCCCCTGTGCCCTTGTCTGTCCCTCTTATAGGCAAGGGGTGCCTGGGAGGCTCTGGGACAGGATTGTGCTTCACCACAGCCTTAAGAGGCAAGTGAAAGATGTTTGAATTTTTCTCTTAAGATCTTTAGCTCTTCAGGTGCCAGGGCACATTGTCCTCTGAGGGCCATCCCCATAGGAGTGTAAGTAAAGTTTAGACGTAATTTTGAAAATGCTGACACTTTTTTAGGGCTGTGACTAAGTAGGGGCATGGGGGAAGAAATATTTCTTTAAAAGAATGAACAATTATATTTATATTTCAGGTTATAGTAGTTTTTTAGTGGGAGTGGGTGGATTTGTTGTCATGTGTGCACCTTGAGGTTTTCTAATGCAAATGTTTAAAAAAAGAATATTGTTTTTCTTTTTATGATTGTCTCTTTTCTCCCACCTCTTGTACTGGAATGTTCTTGCTATTAACGTTATTTGTAATTTAGTTTGTAATTCATTAAAAAAGTTCCTAGTTTTATAGTTTATCTTTTCTCCTTTTGTGTACTTATTTACTGAAAGAATGATTTGAGAAAATATGAATGTGTATACCTGATCATTGGTTTCAGACCCCCACTTTTCCTAATCTCTGTGTAGGACTCGAATCCACCCCACCCCGTTTTGACTTCTATGATGAAATTGGGATAGTGCCGAAGGTGGGCAAAGTGGGAATTACTTTGCCCACCTTCGGCACTATCCTCTTTTACAGCTAGAGAAACTGAAGCTTTTGCACTTCCTACTTTCGCCACAAACCTTCCTCTACCCCCCAACACACACATATACCACAACAACATACACTTGAGGAGGCATTTCCGGAATTTCAGTGTTAGGAAGGGCTTGAGAGCAGCATTGTGGTTGGAAGTGTGCGCCATGGAATTGGTCTTGACACTGCAAGTTCATCATTTTTCCTTTTTGTTGCCTATTACAAACACCAAAGTTTTCTAAAGATACTTTATTCACCTTTATAGCATGATTCATAATATTTTCAATTATCTGCATGAAAAATTATCATGAAAGGGCTAAAGCGTCTCCAAGTTGCTGGTTCTTGGAGGTGCCATTGCCTCACCCCATTAAAAAACATACCAGACCACCCGCGAACCACCTCAAAATCTCTTGTACTCTGCAGCCTCACTTAAAGGAGGAAGACTCTATGCGAAGGCTACTTAAATTCCCAGGCTCCAGGTCCCTAAGAGAGGTTATTTCCCCTTAGGTCCATGAATTGCTCTTAGAGGAAGGGGAGCTAGAGTCAGCCCCAGCAAAATTCGGGGGGGAGGGGCGAAGGTCGGCAGAGGCCTTCCTAGGGCTTCCTTCAACCCCGCCTTGCCTGCCATTCAAGTCCCAAATTTTCGCAGTACTGGTTAAAGTTTCACTTTGGCCCGCCTCCGTCACTCACCTGATTATATGTTTATGAGTCAAAGGGCGGGGTCAAGAGGGTACCAAGAGTTTATTGGTTGGTATGCACGCCTGTCCACAGTGTACCGCCCCCTGTCTCGGGAAGCTCCCTCGTCAATGGCTTCTCACCTCGTCCATCTTCAAGGTTTCCTTCTTCGTATTGGCCTAGGGACACGCCTGTCCGGTCCCTGGCTCGTCTTCGTTGGTGACAGCGCCGAAAAAGGCCCACCTTTCTCCAGAGGATTGGCGGATCCGTGCACACACAGCCCACCCTTGATAGTAGGCGTAATTGTGCCATTGGCCGGGGTCCCCGCCCAGGGCGAGGAGGAGGAGGAGGAGGAGGAGGAGGGGCAGGAGGGTTTGGTTGAGCTGCGGCTGTTTGTCTGTTCGACACAAGCTTGGGCCCGACGGGGGAGACGGAGGTGCAGGTATCGAGCTGATGGAGCCCAGAGGGCAGGGGCGGAGGCGCCTGGGAGAGGAGAGCAGCATGGTCTGAGAGCAGCGGCGGGCCTGGCCCTCCGCGATGGGGTTAGAGAGGTCCATGGAAGAGGGGAGAAGGGGGCCGGTCCCCGACAGGCCTAATGGGGGCGCTGAGGAGGGGGCCAGGCGGGCTGGGAGCCCGAAGTTGGTGAGGCCGGGTTCTGCCGGCGGCAAGGCTGCGGGCCGGCGCGCGAGGCCCAGGTCTTGGGTGAGGGCAGGGGCAGGCCTCATTGAGCAGCGCGGGGAGGGAGGAGCTGGGGGAAAGGGCCGGGGAAGCGGGTGAGGTAAGCCCATTTGCCGGGAGGTGAGGGGTCAGCCCCGACGCCTGGGCTGGGAGGATAACCGGAGCTGGTGCTCTGGAGATGTCCCATTGCTAGGGCCCAGAAGAGTTCTTAGTTGGGTAAGAGACATGCTTTTTCAGGGAAAGTGACTATTATTAAAATAACTAGGGTGCCCCAGAGTTGAGCCGAGAGGATTTGAGTTCAGTGAAGCAAATGAAGAATGCTTTCCTAATCTAGAAGGCTAAAGTACTTGTGTAAATGGAAGCCGGGCGCAGTATCAGTTATGGGAGCTTCTGGGAATGCTCAAGGATGGGCCGGAGGCTCTGGGGTTTGGGAGGCCCCTCTCTTTTGTTACGATTAAGTGCTGAGGTGTGGTAACTTGAAGTTTTTGGAACGTCCAAGGTAGCTAGTGAAAACAAACTTTTTTGGTTTTTTTTTCCTGTGACTGTTGGCTATTCCAAACTCAACCCCTACACTTTCCCTTGGATTCATCTGAAGGGTGCAGTCTGTTTCTTCTTACCAACCTCCCCTGGTTTAGAGAGGCAGTCCTGTGTAAGAGCTAAGAAGTTGGATTTGGGGGAGGGTGTTTGTTTTCTCACTTAATAATGTGGACTGTAGTGGATGCTATATCTCTAACCTAGAAGAGGGGAATCAGTGAACTAATTTGCCCTGAAAAGGGGCTTAGGGATTCCACAGCCACCAAGAAGAGATCTTCCAACCATAGTTGGAGAAACTTTTTAGGACTTAGACTTGGGTATTTCCCAGACAGGTGATGTTTAGGTGGAACCAAGCCTGGAAATATGAAGTGATATAACTGAGGAAGGGATTTGGGGAAGAGAGATTCTTTTCCACAAAGTTGGCATCATCAGTTCTTGGTTTACTCTTCAGCAAACAATAAGGCACTTGGGGAAAGGGGTGAGTAGGGAAAAGGAAGATGGATTACTAAGGCACAAGAGTCCCCTCCTTCCATAATTTTTAATGGTCTGACCTCCTTAGTCTGCCATAGATTGGAGCCTATTGGGTTTCCCCTTATAATACTTCCTTCTTTTGCCTTTTATACCACTGTATTTTATAACTACGTTTCTTCTTAATGTCAAAAATAATACATGTTTTTAAATATTCAAGCTGTACAGAAGAGTAAAAACTGTAAGTCCTCCCACACATACTCACTCAATGTACTTCATCCAGAAAGGTCAGAGATAAGAGACAGCAGGTCAGTCTAATCTTGCCTTTTGCTTCGGGGGATGTGCCACCAGAGGCAATTCTGTTTTCATGTTCCCACCAAACTCTGGTCTGTCAGTCTTTTCAGTTTTCCCTTCTGGGGTGATACTCTGTTATTTATTGTGCTGCCTTCACAGTTCATTTTGTCTTGCTCCTGTCAATTTCAGACAAAGAGCTGTACTCTGGGTTATCCCTCACCTTCTTAACACATACCCCAGTTGTGCACCGGGTATCCTAGAAAATGTTCAAATAGATGACCAAAACTTTTTTCTTTTATGGGCAGGAAAAATAACATTACAGAGAATTATTTTGTTTGGGGGAACTATTGGCATCTCTGCTAACATGAGAAATTTGAGACCTCTTCTGGTTCAGGGTTTCTGTGTGTTTAGATTATATGACTGTCCCTTCATTATCCCAAAAGAAGATAATGGTTCTCTGAAGGGTCCCTTGTATTTTTCTTTCTATGAGTAGCTCCAGAGTTTCTCTGGTTGTCCTTTAAACGCCTCAGTACAGCTGGGGCATTTTATACTACCTCCTTATTGAATTTGCCCTTACTGGCTTTAGAAGCCCTCTAATATGCCCAGCCTTTGTACAGAAATCTCAACTGTTGTCCCCCCAGGAGCTTTTCTTTTCTCTCCTTCAAAGCCAGCCCTAGACAAAATTGTAGGAGAGAGAGAGAGAGAGAGAGAGAGAGAGAGAGAGAGAGAAAGTTTTAAATCCTTTCTAAACTTTGCCAATTTTTTTACACCCGGATGATATCCTGTCACTTTCTTTGCTTTTTGGTCTTTTCTATATACCCCTTAATCAAAGCCTGCCTTTAAGAAATGATCTGGAATTGCTTCATATTAAGGTGTAAAATAGCCACCTAAAGTATTAATTTTTCCAAGGGCTTTTGTTTCATAAGAAGGAGCTAAGGAGTGGAATTATCAATATAGAATTTCAAACATCAACTTTGAGTTACAAAAACTTACTTGGAGAGCTCCCCCATTGCCCTTGAAGTAATACTTTGTATCTTCTAACTCTCACTTTGCCCAGGAGCAAGAATTGCTCTTCTATAGTTAGCTTGTTTGTGTGCATGGATAAGAATTTGACTTCTGAGAAGGCAGAGGGTAGGAGAAGCAAGTGTATACCTCCTATTCCTAAGGCATTTCAGATTGGAAAGTAACCAAAGTGTAAGAATGAACTTGAGGAAATGAAACAGCCTGCCAGGAGAAAGGATACCTTAAAACCTTACACAGTACACTCCCACTTCCCAAGAATGCTTTAGGAAAGATTTAGTCATTGACTGAACAGTAACTAAACTGAGTAAGGAGCCACCCAGGTGAGCAGTCTGTGTAGATTTATGAGCCAGGCTGTGGCTTCTGTTTAGGGACCGTGGGTACCTTTTCAGAGTGCCCTCAAGTTCTGTGGTGCTATGTTTTTCTTTTCTTTTCTTTTCTTTTCTTTTCTTTTCTTTTCTTTTCTTTCCTTTCCTTTCCTTTTCTTTTCTTTTCTTTCCTTTCCTTTCCTTTCCTCTTTTCTTTTCTTTTCTTTTCTTTTCTTTTCTTTTCTTTTCTTTTCTTTTCTTTGTGTGTTTCTGTAGTTCAAGAATTAATAGAGATAATGACCCAAAGTTAACTGAACATTAACATTAACTGTAACTTCAGGGAACTTTGTATTTACCCGCAGTTGCTTCAGTGTCCAGGTGGGAGGCCCGCATGCTGGGTGTGATTAGGCCATTTGAGGCATAATAACGGGTGACAGGAAAAGCAGTTAGCCCATCTGAGTTGCAACAGTGCCTTGTGGGCTGGGTCCCAAGAGGGCCCTCCATCCAAGGGAGATCACAAAGGGGCCAGGGAGAGAACTGGTTCTCTGAGGCTGACTCAAAACATTCCTAAATGGAACTGAGTAGAAAGCTGTCCAGGTGGCACAGAAGGGGAAGAGGAGATGGAGGAGGGAAGCAGGATTGCTCTAACCTTACTTAATTTAGGGAGCATTCACTGAACACCTACTAGGTATGAGATGTTGTGCTCTGCTCTGGAGATTCAAGATGACAACAAATAGTCACACTTTTTGAGAAGCTCATAGTTTAAAACTCATATGATATAATAAATGTTGTGATAGTAGTACAGTCT